AGAGAGAGAGAGAGAGAGAGAGAGAGAGAGAGAGAGAGAGAGAGAGAGAGAGAGAAAGAGAGAGAGAGAAAGAGAGAAAGAGAGCTTTAGTGATTTTAGTTAGTACAAAAATATCAACACCAAGAGAATAACGCGTATAGACACCTCGATCGCTTATGGCATGCGTGACGCTGCCGTGTAGAAGCGCGGCGATAAACGTAGAGGAGAAATTGACGTTTTTCCGGAAGTCTCTTACTTAGGACTGATTTTCCCTCCCTCTCGAGAACGCGACGGGCGGATGATATCGAGACACACTGAAATGTGGAAATGAGATACGAGACATGTGAAATAAAATTATCGATCCGATAAAATAATAACCGCAAAAAGTAACGAAATTAGAGCGCAGAAGAGCAGATAAAATAATTAATCTGACATGATGATTGCTCGGAAATAAAAAAAAATATATTCATCGCGCATCGATTATTATTTTCTGTTCTGGCCGAATTTTTTCTCCGCTAAAGCAAAATAGCTGAAACGAGATGACAGATTTTAATTTAATCTCTCCGAGATTTAATTTAATTTCTCTTAAACGAATTTAATTTGTCTATTTCGGCGGGATGAATTTATCGCTACATCGCATTTATTCTTACATTTCATTGTGTCTCGATTAAAATATAAAGTCGTCTCGTAAGAAAGTGGATGCTTATTCTTACGAGAAAAATCACGAAGCGCACGTAGTTCTGCAGCACGGCAAAGTTTTTCGTAATATTTGAAATTAACTATAGACACACTTGTCTCTTATACTATATTACAATACTCGACAGTCAATCGAATCTATAAATTAATAGAGTAACTCATAACGGTAGTCAATAATAAAAAAAAAGGAGGAATAAAAGAGGATGTGCAACGATCCACGATCGCCCCAGTTGGATCCCAAGTGAGCTCCATCGACGGGCACGTGAACATCGTGGCACAGTTTATAGTAGTTTTAGTATCGCGAACAAGAAGAGTAACAAGAAGTGTGGAACGATGTTTCGTGGCAGGATTTCACGTACATTGCGAACAGTAAAATAGTTTTTTAGCTTAAAACTTAGCACTGCAATGCACGTATGTGTGATAACACAGGTTTTCAGTTTTGCAATTTATAATTAAAACAAGATTTTCGCGTTCTTAAAATTGCATTTCTATCATTAATTATCGTTATTATTTCCGTGAAAATTATTTTAAAAAGTACAATCGATTAAGAGATCAAAATTTTCGTAAATATGACGCCAATAAATTCAAATAAAAATATCTAGCAATTAAGCAATTAACATGAAATTATTGGATCAATTTTTGCCTGACATTTTTTTTTATCGCGTAGCACAGACAAGAAAGCACCATGAAATCTTCCCACGAAAACTCGATATTTATCGGCGCGATATACTCAACGAGAATTACTCAATAGAGGCAAGAAAAAGACAAAATGTTATAACAGAGGGGGTGAATTGTGTCGAGAGAATGAGATCACAAGCCACAGAACTGATAACTCGTAAAGGCGAGATAGATGGGCTGTCATCACTATTTTTTCAATATGCGAATGATTTAAGCCAGGCCCCAGGACGATCATGCCTCACACGTTTCTCGGTCTGGGGAAAGTTTCTCGTCCGAACCGAACGCGGCATGTCGGACTTAGAATCGAGCGAAAACGACAGTGACTTCACAATCGAGCGCGTTTGTCTTACTAAAAGTGAAAACTCACTTATATGAAAAAAACAAAGTATACACAGATATATTTGCTTTTAATCAAACACAAAGCCGGAATGTTATTTTAAGAAATAAGTTTGTCCTGCGAATTTTACGGGCAACAGTAAGCGAAAGCAATTATTCTCTCGTGTCATATTAGTTTAATTCTTTGTAAGCGAAATTTCTTGTATCATAATAAGATTGTCACGGCGGGGGATGAAGAGCGCCCAATAGAAAAATTACTCGCAAACAACAATAATAATGCAAAATGAGTGAAAGAAGGTACCGAATGGTCGCACATTAATACAAAGACTCCCAATTAAAGAGGACCAAGTTGCTAAACTGTTTCTATGCCGCGCACGCGGCGAATTTAACCGTCGTAGTATATATCGTTTTTGAGGTGATAAGAATCGTCAATATAAGCGATAGAGAAAATAACTCACTCAACCAACTGAATGTTAATATATCGAAGATAAAAAGAGAACAACGAAAATGTGACAAGCATTGTACACGTAAATATAAATATAATACTTAGACAAGCATCCATTATATATATATAAAAAAACTATATATATAGATGTATGTACATGTATGTGTTAATCGATGGAACCACGCTGAAATCCGAGTATCGATCGTTTTTGCCCGTTTTCTCAATTTGACGACGTCATCGTACGTTTTATGCGCTCGCCATTGTTTGAACAAATCTTGCAAGACCAGTACGCTTCTTACCGCGTTGCGGTGAGAGATAAGATGTGTTTCTCTCGCGCGATGGTTAATATTCTCGCTTGATAGCGGACCCGTCAGCACATTGACTTCCATAAACTTGTAGCCGCGTGTTAAAACAACCCTCGATTGCCGTACCGATCATTTTCGCCTCTACATTGCGTTGCCGTAATGCGTTCGTGTTGGAACGAAAGAATTTCAAGTGATTCCTCCGATTAATATATTTCCGAAATTATTGTATTAATTAATGAAAACAGAGAAGCGAAGAAATGTCGCGGTAGTCAATGTGTTAAGAAGATACACGTAAAATAATTACACATCCATGCATAAATCATGTACACGAACTCGCGGAGAAGCAGGCATGATCACCGCTAAACCTGGCTTTTCGAGAGAACGGAAAACGGAAGGAGGAAGAGGAGAAAGACGCGTAAGGAAACGTAGGGTTTAGATTAGTGTGATACAAGGTACGACAAAGCAATAATTTAGTGATTGTACGATATACTTGATTAGTGAATTAGTGCTAAGTTAACGATACTTTCGAAATCTATAAATATTTACTCGATAAATCGTATAGTTTTGTAGAAACGCTGGGAAGATTGCCATTTCAGATTGACGCTGTCTTGGGATCAAAGATTTAAGGGGGGGGGGGGAAGAAGAAAAAAAGAGGGAAAAATTTGATAGTTGGAAGCGAACCGGCGGAGCCGCGATATTAATTCTGATCGCAGAAATCTTTTTCTTTCGTATCGGCGAACGAATATCTTATCGAACGAATAAAAATTTATCTTTTTGTAACAGGACGAGCTTCTGAACGAATTCTATTAAAAAAAAAAAAGCAAAATAAATGCATTGTAAATTTCGATAATATAACAATAACGTATCGCTTTGTCATTAAAACAGCCATTCTGTATGCAGGTGCCAAATCTATGCACACACACACATACACACGCCGAAAGAAAAAGATTTGAAAACGAAAAGATGAAAACGTTTAAAACCGATTCGCACCCGATTATGATAATGCGTATCGCAGTGCAGCTTGTATCGCTCGATGATTTACGACATTCTCTTATCCTGATTGCCGATTGCGCCACATGTAAGAAAAATTGTCACTCAACGGATGAGACTAAAAGTGAAATGAATACAAAAAAGAAGAAGGTGCGTCTTTTCACATAATTTCCTAAGGCATTCCTCCGACAGGACAGTTGAACAATTACTGGCTAATGCAACATACGTAACACGATTTGATTTGTGACAATATTATCGTGGAAAGGTCCGAAATTATACGAATGAAATTGCATTGGCAGAGAATTTTTTGCTCCCCGATCTGCCTGCGCATGAAGTTTTCATGATGGAAAAACACGAGAGATTTTCATTGCGGCTGTCGGAAACTTGTAACCGTATCAGTTTGTAGCGCGAATAAAAGTGAATTTGAAGAAAATTCACTTCTTACACGGAGAAGAAGGGCGGACAGGTTTATAGAATTTTTAGAATATATACATAGCGGTTTGTTAGCAGGCGACTCAATATTCAAAGCAGCTGAAGCTTACTTTCAATGGCACACGGGTATCAAATTTCCTCGACAGTCGTGCGATTTGGAAATATTGCAAGAACGATAATAAATGCAGGATACGTTTGCATCGCAATAAGAAACGTTGTCCGCAACGTTAGAATAAAATACTTCATAGATGAGATGTTCTTCCAATGAAACAATGCTGCGAACAAATGGCCGAAACCAATCAGAAAGTAAAAATGTCCATCGGATATAGAAAAAAAAAAAAAAAAAAAATTAGTGCAGAAGTAATATTCCAGGTCTTTTTATAAGTTTTTGTTTCCGATAACAACTCAACTCAATGAAATATGCAGAAACGTTTAGAATTCAGCTAATGCATGATTTGTAGCAATGATTACTTACGTAAAATCGATAATCCAACAATTAGATCGGAAACAGAGTACTGTTGTAATATCAACATTGATATTGCGATACAGTATTGTGTACAACTTCTTCTCAAACCGAACTGCAACGCATGTGCAAACTCTGCGGACTACAATTAAGAATTCATGCATGTACGAACGGTGATAAAGGTGAATTTGCCAATTTTGGAACAATGTAACACCAAACTTCAACTAGAAATATGTACACGTCGCGCGTACTTTTTAATGTCAAACCAAACTTTGTTAGTCATTTATAACGTCGTGTCGTTGCATCTGTACACCTACACCGTCGGGTATCTGTAGGATCAATACGGAGTGATTGTCCTTCGAAGAAAGGTGCTGTACCGAACATCCGAGCAGTCCGCAGATTCAGTGCCTGAGAAGACAAATTCCAGCGCGACGCCGAGATCTATTCGATGCGATTTGGAAGAAAATACTTGCACGCGACCACATTTAGATAACCAAAAAAAGCAACAAAAAAAAAAAAAAAAACGCCCCAATTCCTCGGATATCTCACAGAAAGAGCTTTCCAAACTTTCGGGATATTACGTGCGGTGCGACGTGCTATCGGCGATTATTTTTCGTTAAAGTTCTCAAGCCGATAGTGACGTTCGGCGTTTCGCGCATCAGGTGCTGAATCGGGCGTGACTGACGGAAACGCGAATGAGATATTCGCTCGAGCGCGACAAGAAGTGTAGGATAAGGCGTTTTACGGGTGACGACAAAACACGTTCACGACCAACGTACGCGAGTGAACCACGAATAACATAGCCGCGGATACCTTTTACAAATTTTTCGTAGCGCAGGCCGCGGCGCTCCGCCGCCGCGGCGTCAACGAAAGCAATTTTACATATATATTTACAGCGGGTGTGCAATAAACAGCACGTCAGATATAAATTAATTCGTACCCAATAATGTAATGCAAAAGCCGATCGTGTTATTGACATGTTTCTTATCAATAAACTAAACCTTAAATATGGATTACAGGCTGAATAATTCATTCGACCGCGCATCCTTCCGTAATTGCTGAGTTTATTTTTTTCAGACCACGCATTGTAGACGATACGCCGCTCCCGGGAAGATTGAATAAATATGCAAAATAACCGCCATCGCTCAAGATTAAGTGAATATAGCTTGCAAACATCGACGTGAAAATCACCTTTTACATATTTCATGTTTGCCCGTCTTTATAGCTCAAAAGAACATGACATAATTTTCGGCTTAAAAAAAAGATATCAAGTCCTATCATGATAATATAACTTTTGACTTAAAAGAAAGGTGACGATATTAAAATTATCGTAAAATCAAACGAAAAAAAAAAAAAAACGTGTCTTTGATAATAATCGAAAAATTGACAGAGTATCCACAGTTTTATTACATAACGCAAAAGAGATCTTCAAGTTTTGAGTTCGATATGATTTTGTACAATACTGTTCACTGTGCAGCTGATGATTATGAAAACGGAACTAACGCAATGAAGGAGAGTTCGTCAAGTGCAATTTAAATTCAATTAAATAAAGCATCACAAAAGTGTCACGTTAAACTGACAATTTCATCCACACACAGCGATAACCGATGCAGCTAAATATTGTTGAACATCCATAAACTTATCATAATTGTGTATTTCGAACTATTATACAAAGCACTTGAGAGACTAAAATGTTACAATTACAGTCGTTGCTGCGGTTGTTTGTTATTAGAGGCTGCTTTGGAAGGCTGTGCTTGCGACTCCGATTTGCTGTCCTTGTCGCCGTCCTTGGAAGAATCCTCTTTCGTCTTGTTCCATTCCTTCAAACCTTCCGGTAAGCTAGTATCCTCCTCGAACGAACCGGTGCCTTCAACGAACTCTTCGTAAGTGGACTTTTCGCGGAAAGGTCGGGCTCCGAGTAATTCGATCATATCGTCTCTACTTAAAATCTCCTGCTTCAACAATCGCTCAGCAACCTAAAATTGAGAAATAATAAATTAACTTCTATCTTGGAGAATTAAGATCCAATTGTTGAATAGGCGATAGAATCTTTCTTACCTTGGTTACATCTTCTTTATGCTCACTCAGAAGAGCTTGTGTCCGCTTATGTGCTCTATCGATTAGATCTCGCACCTCACTGTCGATGAGCTGCGCGGTGTATTCAGAATACGGCTTGTCAAAAGCCATCTCTCCCGGCTTTGGCATTTGGAAACTAACGTTTCCGACCTTCTCATTCATACCGTATTGTATGATTTGTGCATACGCAATGTCTGTAATCTTCAGAAATAATACGAAATATGTTAAACGGCTCAGTGAAAAAAAATATGCGCGTACGAAAATATTGTCTTATTGCTCAATCGTAACGATACCTTCTGCAAATCGTCCTGAGCGCCTGTAGTTATGCGACCGAAAAAGATCTCTTCCGACACTCGTCCGCCGAGCGTCATGCACATTCGATCGAACAGCTGTTCTTTCGTGTAAAGATACTGTTCTCGAGGTAAATACTGGGCGTATCCTAATCCTTTACCGCGCGGAATAATGGACACCTAAGCAAATAGAAAAAAGTTTGACAAATAAAGAAAAATTATACCGTGCCAATCATAAAACGTGGATACCTTCAGAAGTGGATCTGCGTACTCTAAGAACCAACCGGCTACCGCGTGACCGGCTTCATGATACGCGACCGTCTTCTTCTCCTCAGGTTGCAATACATTGGTCTTCTTCTCCATGCCAGCCACTACCCTCTCGATAGCTTGCTCGAAGTTTTTCAGGTGAATGTTGTCATTCAAGTCTCTTGCTGCTATCAAAGCCGCTTCATTGCAAACGTTTGCAATATCAGCTCCTAAAAGAAGCTACATATGATGTTCTGACGGTTTCTATTCAGTTTTCGTTCTAGATATAACATCTCGTTGTTTATATTTGTTTTAATCGTTCTCCGAATGAACAAAAACATTCATCAGTTATATACCTGTGAATCCAGGAGTCAAGGAAGCCATCTTTCTCGCTAATTGATCCTTATCTAACGTCGTTTTCAAAGGGGCTAAGTGCACTTTGAAAATAGACGCTCGTCCTTTGATATCCGGCGCAGGTACAAATATTTGTCTATCAAACCTCCCGGGTCTCAATAACGCTTTGTCTAAAATGTCTATTCTGTTAGTCGCCGCTAATACGACCACATTAGTTGTCGTGTTGAATCCTTAAAAAAGAAAATAAGCGTTAGAAATCATTCGGCAATTCCAGTCTTACTTTTTCATACTTGAAACTACGATGTACCATCCATTTCTACTAAGAGTTGATTTAATGTGTTTTCCTGCTCCGAATGTCCCGCGAAGTTGCGACCACCTCTCTTCCGTCCAACCGCATCGATCTCATCGATAAATAATATACACGGCGCATGCTTTCGTGCCATGGAAAACATGTCACGCACCCTAGAAGGACCGACACCCACAAACATTTCCAAGAATTCCGAACCCGATACCGTTATGAAGGGCACGTTCGCTTCACCAGCTGTCGCTTTGGCTAACAAAGTTTTACCTGTACCAGGTGGCCCTACAAAAAACGTCATACATGTCTCATTAAATTCAACCAACGATAAATTTTAAATACAGTTGTGTTGAAATATGCAGTCGACTCTCAGAAGATTACACTTTACCTAAATTGTTAGTTACCTGTTAACATGGCTCCCTTTGGAATTTTAGCCCCAAGGTCTATGTACTGCTGCGGATTCTTCAGGAAATTTACAAACTCCATAATTTCGATCTTGGCTTCTTCACACCCAGCCACATCTCTAATGTTAGTGATAGTAAGTCGCAATACAAGTGAAATTTATAAATCAAGATTTCTGTACGCTAAGCATCTGTATAATAATGAAATATTTTATCACTCACTTAAATCGCACACCAATATCTTTGGAATTGATTAGTTTCGCAGTCGATTCCATTACTGTACCAAACAATCCACCTCTTTTACCTCCTTTACCGGTCATTGCTTCCGCAGATCTTCGGATTAAATAAAAGAGGAATCCTAAAAGATATTTTGATAACATTTATAATATGTATGCACAAAGCAGTTAAAATTATTTTGTTATAGTAATTTTACAAAATCAATAATTAATACTGTCGCTTACCCCACATGAGAATCTGCGGCAGATAAGACATTATGTTTACAGTCTCCACTTCATTTTTGTAAACCACAGGAATATAATTCTCAGGTCCCATATTCAATTCTATTTGTGCATTTTCTAAGTTTCTTTCAAAAGTGTCAGTACTTCCAATATTAAACCACAGAATATCCTATAAAAAAATATATATAAAAACTTCATAATTTAGAAGTAAATAAATATCCACTACTGATATCGTAATCGAGGAGAACTTACAGAACCATCTACAGTATGTCCTGGTAGGAGCTTTACGCGTACCCATTTTTTATTTACTACTTCTAATTTTTCGACAATACCTTTACTTAAATAACTGAAAATATATAATTAGCACAATTGTAAGTATTATATATTTTTCATATATAAACAATATACATTTGCATTCTGTTAGAGCATATTAAAGATTTAATATAATTATTGAGGGAGAAATTTATATACTCACTTATACGTAAATTCCCTCCATGTGATTTCTTTCTGATTTAAATCCTGAGAAAGTATATATGCAAGTATACCAGTTACTCCAAGCGCACCAAAAATCATAAACGTCTTCTCCTTGTCACCACCTTCAAACGATTTACCTCCGCGTTGCGAACCATCTCCAAAAACTTTGAATGACCATTGAAATCCTGAATCCTTGGAACTTGACGAGCTGGAGGTAGATGAAGAAGGCTTCTGTGTGGTAGTTTTTTTACTCGTCGCTTCTTCTGCCTTTTTTGCAACATTTTCAGCATTTTTAGCACCACCTGTATATACAATGCTATATTATACAAATTTGGCTAAAATTTTATATAAATGATTGTAAGAATAAAAGAAAATTGAATAAATAACTGTAAAAATATATTAAAGACCTGGTTTGAAAAATTTTTCGAACCCTTTAGGTGGCTCTTTACAAAATAATCTCCATTTCTGCTGCAACTGTTCTATCAGAGATAGTGTTGTGCCACTTTTAAGCTGTGATAAGTGTCGTCTCAGCTGAAAGAAAAAAAATGTTAACTTAATCCAGTTATTCCAGTAAAAAGGACAATACTCTTATTATTTAATATATTATTTTATATATTTTTCTATTTTATTGTAATCTTCTGTTTATTATTGCAATTTGTTGTGTAGTTTACATCAGCTTATTTGCAGCACTTATGTAAAGAGATCACATGTTTGATATTTCAATACAGAATACAGAAGAATATATAAAAATCACAGACACAATTTAATTTAGAAATATTTTATTTAGAATGTACTAGGTGCGCAACTAAGTTTCCGGGTTTCACACATGAATGGCGCTAACGATACATGTAGTCGATATACATGTCTAAAGTTGTGTTTTTTTATTAACTTGGACATCTGTCAACAATAACCAGTCATAATACCAACACATATTGCAACGCAAAAATATTTTTCTAACAATAAAGATGTCGAGTTTTGTGCCAAATAAACAGCATTTGCGGGAAGCTTTGCTTTTCTGCTTCAACTTGAAAGAAAATGCAGCTGAAGCACGCCGTTTGCTTGAGAAAGCCTACGGCGAACATGCACAATCGAAAACTACTTGTGAAGATTGGTTTAAACGCTTTAGAAATGGCGATTTCGACACTGAGGACAAGGAGCGCTCCGGAAGACCAAAAACATTTGAGGACGCCGATCTGCAAGCGTTATTGGATGAAAATGATACGCAAAC